TTTGGAACAATAATAATATTCATGTTTTAAAAAGTTTTACTCAGGGTATTTCCATAGTTACAGAAAAGCGTGTCCTTACTTACAAATAACCTGGTAATAAAGTCTATGCTATGTGCTGTGTCTGCATACCTTTAACCCAAATAGTTACTTCTATATATAATATATATATATATATATATATATATATATATATATATATATATATATATATATATATGGTCACAGGATGTGGAGTACAGCATAGGGAATAGAGTCAATGGAATTGTAACAGCTATATACGATGTCAGAGGGGTAGTAGATTGGGGGAGGGGGATTATCACTTTGTGAGGGGAATAAATGTCTATTACATTGTTTTATACACCTGAAACTAATTAAAAAAAAAAAGAACTCAACAACAACAAAAAAACAAACAATCCAATTAGAAAATAGTCAGAGGACCTGAACGGTGTTTACTATTTTTTTTTTAAAGCCCTCTAGTTTTAAAGCATTCCTGATTTTAAGGGAATGTGAGTATAGAAAGCACTTGTTGAATACTTCTACCTCTTTTCTATATTTTTATTGTCAAAAAAGACCAATACAAAGGAAAATGTTTGAATAAACAATTATTTTTAAGGTCTTCTTGACCAAACACACATATCTATTTTGAATTCCTGTTTTTAAAAATCAACTTGCTTATAATCCCTATCCCTATAATTTAAACACACACTGATTTGCATGTTTAGGGGAAAATGTTCTGACTGTCCTTTATTGAAGATGCTGTCTTAAGTATTGTAAGATTGTGTTCATTTACGTTTGAAAACTTAGAGGTTTTTAAGAGGCAGGGTGGAAAACTTTCTTGGTTTTGCTTTCACTTTTAAAATGGCTCTCTAAAGCAACCATCAAGAATTGCAGTGTAAAGAAAATCCTCTTCCTTGCCATTCCTTTAAAGCTTCATCGTATTATTTTGAGTTCACATGATAACACTACTGATCTAGTGGACATGGTGAGCTCTGTATCCCACTAGTTAGCTATTCTTTGTCCTCCATCTGGCATGGCCTGTGTGACCAGCCCCACCCATTCTTCTAAGTTTGCTGTCTGCAAAAAGGAGCTACTGCTAACAAAGAATCCCAAAACAATGTCCTCATCTTTATTATTGGTAATAATAATTATTGGGGCTCTATTTTTATGAGTTAACAATCTTTCAAACCATAAATAGTAGATAACTAGTGAACTGAGTTAACTCCATTAGAAAAAATAAACTCAGCTGTAAAGACTATTTTGGAGTTATCGCTATAAAACATTTTCCAAAGTCTTTATACAGTTTTGAAACTAAACATTTGAATTTTAATAACTTAGAGTGTAAGTGTGAATGAGACAATCTGCAATTTTTCTGGAAATGCGAATGGAATTTACTTTTCATAGCAACTGTGAACTTCAATTATGTTAGCCAAAGGGCACTGATTGCTTTATCTTGCAGAGTAACCACTTTTTGCTTATCTGAAATAATGATATACCTGGTACAGTTTAGACACTGAACAACATGTAAGAGAGTAGGAGGCATTCCCCATAGATGGTCCTTTTTGTATGTCAGTTGTCTCATGCAGGATTTCCACTTGCACTAAAATTTATATTTATTTTATGAATTGTAAAAGTAACATATACTCATTATGAAAAAAACCAAAAGATATATTGGGTTGTCAGAAAATTCATGACGTATTTTTTTCTGTTTTTTGTTGCAAAAATGCGTCATCACTTTTCCGACAACCCAATAAAAGTACATAAAATGGAAAATGGAAGTGTCCTGCTTTCTCTTCATCTATTTGCTTGTTTCACATATGACCACCATTATTTTGCTGGCTGTCTATGAAGCCACATGTGAATGAGTGCTGATGTATTTAATCAGTCTTTACTGGGAGATAATCTAATTTGTTTCTGATTGTGTGTCATATACATAGTGCAGTCAATATCCTTCTATTTACATCCTTGTGCTTTTCTCCATTATTCTATATGATAAATTTCTAAAGGTAGAATTGTTACCTCTATGGATATATACATTTTAAATATACATTGATACTTTGCTAACTTCCACTAGATTTTGGCAAGAGTTGAACAGCAAACTATTAAAAATAGATCGCTTTTAAATACTTAAAGTATGACAAATGCTTTATTTCATTAGTTGAAAGACAGTTTGTATGTACTATATTGTATATAATTTTGTCTGAAATTTTATTAAATTCATATCCAAATGCTGCTTGGGCTAGCCAGAAACTCCAAAGACTTTACATTGTAGAAAATAAATCCTAAGTATAATTATTTACAAAACAATTGTCAAGAAATTTTGAGAATGATAATGCTATAAAGGATATACATCATAACATCTAAAACCACTAAGAGGTCTTTAAGATGCCCAGTTTAATTATTAAAGTTGACTTTTTTTTTTAGTACTATAATACATATTTCTGTTTTAGGAACTGGAACAGTACAAAAGAAGTTCTTCCAAGTCTTGGAAACAAATTGAGCTGGATTCTTGAACTTAATTCAGCTATAGTGTGTTTATTTCTTCTTTCTCAAATACAAGTAAGATTATTTTATTAATATTAGCTGATTAATAAATTAGATATTGTGGTAATAAATGACGGAAGTTAAGATGTGTAATTTGTTAAAAGAAAAGTGAATTTCTTATGTTAGTGCCACCCCTGGACATTTTTAAGCCATTTAAAGAGGAAAAAATTTGTGTAACTATGTGTAATATTTTTTAAAATAAAAAGAATCTTCTACTGTTTACCTCTAACATGTTTAAGTAATGTATATTTGGTTCAGCATTTATAAGTTTCTACTTACATGTTTTCAGGACTATGAAAATGAGCATTTAGTAACAGTTATGAATATAAGGTTAGTGCTCATATTATTCACATTCTTTCTTTAGGAGTTCTCAGACGTGGGTGGTAGGACACTGGAACTGGGTTCACTTTAATAAGCATCATACCTTTACTCTAATGGTGAGGCACAAAAACCACCCAAAAAGGACTTATTTAAAATGCATTTTCCTGGAGATACAATATGGCGAAGTAAACACTGTGCCTGCTTCCTTCCATGAACAAATTAAAATTACAATGAAATTATAGGTCATTCAACCTAGAGAACTATCTAAAGTCTGGCTGAACAGAAGTTGTATAACTAAGGATATAAAGAAGAAGCCACGTGGAGACTGGCAGGAGGGGTGGGGACGCGGAACTGGTTAACCCCAAACCTTTATGTGGTAGTTGAAAATCAGGAAGGATATCTCGGCTGCAGAGGTTCACCCCAGAAGAGCGAGTGACCCCAGCCCCACACTGGCCTCCTAAGCCAAGAGTAGTGGTGCCAGGAGGAGAAGACCCCACAACATCGGGCTGTGAAAAACAGTGGGGATTCCGACCATACACGGACTGCTGCGGGAAACCCAGGCGTCCTCTTAAAGGGCCTGCTCACAAACTCTCTCACTCCCAGACACTCACCTTGGACTCCAGCGGAGGGACAGTAACTTGAGGGGTGTCAGAGACGTACAGGGGGCAGACTAAGTGGTGTTGCTTCTGGTTGAGGACTAGAAGACAGTTCGCCATTTCCCTGTGAGGAGGTCTTCCTCCCGTGCAGCCGGCAGGCGAGCCATCTTTCCTGTGTTGAGCCCGCCCCCTACACTTACGTCCAAATCTGAATCTGATTGGTCTGGTGAGTCTGCTGCTCTGCCCTGCTGACTCACTGGGACCCCGCCCCACCCAACTCCCCCAACACCGGAGGCACTTTCTCCAAGACAGCAGCTTCACCCACACTGCACTCTTTCTTAGAAAACTGTATCAGAATTCTTTGGTATACTCTGAGACTTTTGCTGAGTAATTTCAGGCTCAGCACTGGCACCAAACCAGAATTCACATTAACCTGGTGACCAGAACCCTTCCCACTCTAGTGACTGTGAGACACTGCCTCACCCAACTTCCATACTGCACGAGGCTTTATCAGGGGTTTAACCTTAAGGGAGCCAACAGGTGACAGCAGGCCTCAGGGTGTCCCGGATTTTTGTGGAGCTCCCCTAGGCCTGGTACTGGTGGCACCTGTCCTCAGTTTGCAGCTTGGCCTCTCCCATGCTCCTCCAGGGTTAGCACATGCAGCAAACAACCGTGGATTGCTTTGTAGCTCTTACCAGGTAGTCTCCAGCTAGTCACAGGCAGTGGGTGACCTGGGCCTGCACCAGAGCCCCTTGCAAGAGGCCCCAGAACCAACATACTTGGAGGTTGGCTTCAGACCACAGTAGAGCACCGCCCAATTAGCCCCACAAGCAGCACAGTGAGTCTGGAATAGGGGCTCAGTAATCTTTTTTTTTTTTTATTAGTAATCTGCATTTTTAATCAGCACCTCCAGTGATTCTGACATACTTAATCTGAGTATAATTTTTTGAAGACTATGCAATTTTAAGGAGATATTTTAAGATGGTATCATTAACATTTAGTAGCTTGAAGTTACGTGCTGTCAATCAGCAGGCCAAAACTTCATGAGTTGGTTATAACCAAGATTATCTTTAAGGTGGAATAGCTGTTAAGAGGACTTCTCAACCCTGTAGGTTTGTATACCTGCTAGCCAAGTTTAATTTGGAGTAAGTATAATTGCTGTTATTAACCAGGAAAGTTATTTACTCGGTATTCTTTTATTTCCACTATAAAATATGTTGATTCCAATATGCCATGCACCCAGCTTTGTATAAGTATGCCCACTAACCCCAAGAATACCAAGACTTCTGAGTGGCATTTGAGTGAATAGCAAACTACCTGACGATTGCAATAAAATAAGACTTCCTAAACTAGTTGCAGTATATGTGGTTCCAACCCTCTTGAACACAAGATTTGCAGCATGTTTCCAAGGAATGTATGTCAGCGTAAGGAGCAGACAGGTGCCATGCCTGACAGCTGTGGAGAAGGAGCTCCCTTTAAATTAATAGTGAGCATTTATGATCTCAGAAACATCACTGATGTGGTGAGAAGAACAGCCTATTCCACAATAGTAACAGGAATTTTTATTATATAATTTGATTTTCTTACACATCACTGTCCATTTTTTACTTAAGACACAAACTGTCACATGTTGAAAGTCATTGTGTTTTACTAAGATGGTTTCACTAACATTTAATAGCTTGAAGTCACGTGCTGTGTCAATTTTCCAAATGTTTCTGAGCAAGAATGAAATTCATCTACATATGAATAGTAGAAAATGTTTCCACTTACATTGTACACCCGTATCTTCAGTAAGTTGAAATCAGTTATTTCAAAAGAGGTTCCTATGGGACTCTTTGAACTACTTTAATAGATTATCATCTCCAGAATTGTCTGTAATTGATGTGACATATATAATCTGTAAGGTATTATGTAACTATTATGCCATAATCATCAGTGTCAAAGACCTTTTATAAAAATTGACAATAATATTCTGGTAATTTACCAATGTCTCCAGATCCTTAAATACAGTTCTGCAAAATAGAATTTCACTGTGTTTTTCTTAATGAAATGATCTTTTCTACTATAATGTGAGACATTGCAAATGTATACTATATTTTACCATGTGTAATGCGCACTTTTTTGCACAAATTTGTGAGGGAAAAATAAGGTTGCGCATTATACATGGGTAGTACTAATTCCATATCTGTATAAATATTTTTAATTCTTTTACTCAATATGCTTCTGAGTTAATAGTGTAACTCTAGAAATCAATAACAATATCCGTATGCAAAATAATACCCTGGAATACGATAATTGGTTTTGTTGAACAATAAACTTGCAACGAAAGCAATTTCGGCCAATGATTCAATGAAATGAAATGAAGAGTGATGTATTGTTGTCCACAGAGTAAGTGACTCTGACTGAATAAGATAGGTGATGCCAACTTTATTACCATAGGGTGAGCAGCACGACATTTCTCTTGGTACACTTTAGGCGGGAGCTAGCAATCCAGCTGACATTTTTACAAACATTATTGGAAAATCCCATGGAAAACTAAAACAAAAGATTTTTTCCCTGAAAGTTTGGGCCAAAAACGTGGGTGAACATTATACACAGGAGCACATTATACCCGGCAAAATATGATAATTTATCATTTTTTACAAGTTAGGTCATAGTAACTGCACAAGTTCATGTACTCTCTAAGATATTTTCACTCAGAATTACCATGGTAACACTGAGACAGTTTCATTTCAGACTTAGACATGAATTACTTCAAGATCAATCAGAATGAAAATCAGTCATTTAGTACATAACCCATTTATATACAATCTATATACAACATTTCATCCCTAAAAACATGTAATATGTGTCAGCATTCTTTGTCTACACAACTCAAGAACATGAATTCCTAGTGTGTAACCCTGTTCTTCTTAGTGTAAATGTTGTCAGTTGAGCATCTTTTTTATATGGACTTTGAATATCAGCTGCTCTCCCATCTTAAAGATGTCATTTCTCAGTGCATATACTTTATCTAATAACACTTACTTTTAATTTTGTAAGTAAACTAAGCGAAAATTGAAAAATAGCCAACTAATTTTTAAAATCATTACCAGAGGTTTGTCTAGTGTGCTGTGTTCTCAGTTTTTTCATTGTAACTCTCAGTAAAAATCATTGAGTGCTCTGTATCAGTGGTTTTCATCATCCAGCACCTGCCCACCATCCTCTCCATATGATCAGGTAACTCAGACCCCTCAGGTGGACACGTGCACATAATGATGGGCTTTAAAATGACAATGAAAGCATTCTTACCCAATTCTGCACGATGCTTCGCTTCAGTCGCACTCACAAATCTTTATGTTATTTACAGTCATCATTCAAATGCTGTCTTTTTACTGAATCCTTTAACAAATGTAAGCATAATTTTTTTAATTGACCTATTTTTCTGTCTAGAGCAAAGAAAACAGTCATACTAGTCTTCATAACTTTATGAATTATTATTATCTACATTTTTGGACTGGCTTACTCATAATCTCCAAGTACCATGTGTCCCTGCAAGTTGGAACAGCATTCCTGGCCTGCATGGAGCCAAGTGGCACCAACGGAGTCTTAATGGCTTAAAAGACTTCAGATGTACTATCAGGAGAGAAACACGTGGCACGCTGATTTCAAACCTTCCAAGCCGTCGTGCACATCTGGGGGCTTAAGTTCCATTTTCACAGCAATGTTCTTTACTATCTGCTAATGAGATGATCCCTTACTTTAAAAACAGCTATTCCTAGGATGACAAGAACTGGGATGAATGCATACAGAATCAGAAAGTCGGCTGTGAACCTGGACGTTGCACCTGGGGAGAGCCTCTCAATGAATTGAATTCCTTGATTGAAGGCACACATTGGATTAGCTGCCACAGAGCCATTTGAGCTGCCTGCCAGGGAGAAGATCAACAATGTCAGATTTGGTCATTAATCAACCATAACTACTGGTTAATTAAATCACATCCCAGCTAGTTTAATCAGCAAGTATTTACCAAATGCCCAGTAAGTTCTTAGCACCTGCTACCTACCCTTCTTCATGGAAGATACAGGACATTTGCAAGAGCCCGGAATTTATTAGATGAAGCAACCAGTGAGTGAGTGTTCTGGGCCTTGGCTTCATTTGAAGATGGAATTGGGTTTGTTTCCAGTCTGGGTCTATAGTCATTACCACAGTACTGATAAAAATCATCATCACTTCGGGTCACTTAGCACTGAATATCCTAAGGTTACTGCCATTACCACTTAAAGATACTTAAAACAACTACTCATGTCTACCCTGTTCTTTAGTTGTCTTCACAGAGTGGCCTGGGATTTCCAATGGCCAGGAGGAACTTGTGATGCACCCACTGCCCTCTCCCAGGATTGGGGAACAGACTTTTGCCAAAATGGCTTTACTCAGCTATATGCTATGTATATTCTGGGAACAAGAAGCCATTGCAATCTGCTTCAGCCTGTTCAGTAGGTATAGGAACTGATTCTACCCAAAATACACTAGAATTTACCTCAGCATATGTTAGGTCATTTTCTAAAAACATCAGAGTGGCCTGAAGCTATTGACCTTTGACAGGTGACTAACCTGACCATTGCTATATTCTTTTAAAAATCAGAGGAATTGTTAGCCTTTAATTTCAAAACAAGGTTTTAAATCTATTTGTTGTAAGATATAGCTTTTATTTAAAAAATACATTTCCCTCAGGAAATGGATTCATCAGAGTAATATGTAGAAATAACATTCCAAAATAGAATACTTACCACACGTGAAATTCCGTCCATAGAACTCATTGACTATAAGAATCTCACAGCAATATTTTTGGAATGTAAAATAAGTGAAGATTTTAAAAGGAATGGGCATTTCTTCTATGTTTCTTAAGAAAAAGAGAGAAAGAGAGATGAAATTCACTAGGTTCTGGTAATAGTCCTACCAAATGAAAAGCAACTCTTATTTTATTTTTCCCAACATGAATATGGTTTTTCATCACTCATTTATAAAAATTGTGCTTTCTATAAAAAATGACAAACAATACTGAAAAGTATAAAGAAATACCACTGCCCAGAAATAACTACTGTTAACATTTTGGTGATATATGTGACATGTGTATATGTGTGTTTGTAAGATTTTACATAAATGGAATTAAACCCTTTATGCTCTTTCCTAACCCACTGTTTTTGTTTTTGTTTTTTTTAAAGATTTTATTGGGGGAATTTGGGGAGGGAACAGCATTGGGGAATGGGGAAGGGGAACAGACCAGTTGCTGTCCTTTTGGTCTTCAGTCTAGTTGTGGAGGACGTCGCTTCACTGGCCCATGTTGGTATTATCATTGTGCTCTTCCCAGGTGAGGCAAATCAGTCGCCGGCCATTGGACAGCCACTCACGGGGGCTCACGGCAGCTCACACTGGCTGCCGGCCATTCATGGTAGCTTTACAGCAGCCCACTGCAGCCTACGCCGTTGTCGGCGACTCAATAGCAGCCCAACTCCAGGTTGAGCTGTTGTTCACCATCTTAGCTGTAGAGGGTGCAGCATCACTGGCCCATGTGGGATCTGAACCGGCGGCCCTGTTGCTCAGAGCTCGTGCTCCCAAGCCAACTCTTAACCAACGAGCCACTCGGCCGGCCCCCTAACCTACTGTTTTTTAACCAAACATCTGTCTCAGATGTCCTTCCAAGTCAGTAAGCATAGCACTCCATCATTTTTCATCACAGCTTGGTGGTCGGTTATAGTAGAAACCTTGATTTCACAATCCCCTGATTATGGATCGGTGTCTAATTTTTTTGGTAAGCGCCATTGATATAAAACTAAAAGAAAGCACACGCCTAACACACATCACATTAGAGAAGAATATTTGTGGTTAAACAGAGATTTGAGGGTGTTAATGTATCAAGTGAGAACTAAACTACAATGCAAGGGGAAAGGATGGAGAGAGAAAGCAGACATTCTCTGTGAAAATGAACTGTCTCCCCTTCAGCCTCATGCTGACCTTGTAGCCTGCTTGGTCCACGCTATAGCGTCTATCAATCAGCAAATATGTATTCAGTTCTTTTTATTTGCAAAGCACTAGTTCTAGGTGCTTGAGGAATTCAAAGGAAGTATTCTACCCTTAAAGAACTCTCAATGTGGTTGGGGACATAGAAGATATGTCCTTAAGACTATAAAAATACACAGTGGTGAACGATGTGTGCCTAGAACATATAAAAAACCAGTACCACATGTCCGTGACATTCTTGTATTTAGTATGTATATGGTGTCAGCTGTTTCCAAGTGACCCCCAAACTCCATGACTTTCAGTTCTTGGAAATTTTCTAAGGCACAAAATTAGCCACATTGAGAGGCTGCTAACTGGAAAGGATAGTTAGGAATCTGGGCGAACATAGGGGAGGAAGGCCATTCTAGGAAGGCAGACAGGAAGGCACAGACATGTCAAGGGCTAAATGTGGGACCAAATGGACTTAGAAAGGCTGAAGCAGCGGATCTGAAGTGGGAGCAATAGGAGATGAGTTTGAAATGGGAGCCAGGAACCAGCTGTTTCAGGGCCTTCCAGTGGATTAACATTGAAGGATCATGAGAAAGATCATGATGAAATCAGTGTTTTAAGAAAATGTGACATTTGGGCCTGCCGAGTGGCTCAGTTGGTTAAGAGCTCGCTCAAGAGTGCAAGCTCTGAGCAACAGCGGTTTGATTCCCAGTCCAAGCTGAGCTGCCAACAGGTGGCAGGATGGCTCAGCTAACAAAAACAAAACAAACAAAAAAAAAAACAAGAAAATGTGACATCAGTAAGTAGGATGGACCAGAATCAGAGCAGATGAAGAACAGCCAAGAGGAGGCCGGCCGAGTGGCGTGTTGGTTAAGAGTTGGCTTGGGACGCCAGCTCTGAGCAGCAGGGACCTAGTTCGGATCCCATATGAGGGCCAATGACGCTGCGCCCTCTACAGCTAAGATGGTGAACTGTTAACAGCTCGACCTGGAACTGGGCTGCCGTGAATCGCCGGTGATGGCGTAGGCTGCAGCCCCTGCTGCAGTGGGCTGCCGTGAGCTACCGTGAGTGGCTGGCAGCCAGCGTGAGTGGCTGGCCAGTAGCCAGCGAGCGAATGCCTCACCCAGGAAGAGCGCAATGATAATACCAACATGGGCCAGTGAAGCAACGTCCTCCACAACTAGACTGAAGAACAAAAGGACCCTTCCCCAATTCCCCAACACTGTTCCCCTCCCCCTATTCCCCAATAAAATAAAATAAAAAAAGAACAGCCAAGAGGGAGCAGGCTACAGCAGAAGTTCAAGTGTGAGATGACAAAGGCCTGGAATAGGATGATAACCATGAGACGATGGCTGCCCAGCAGGCCAGAGTTTTACCTCCTTGAAGTAGGAACTGTGTGCCTTCATCTTGTACTGCACTACACAAGGCAAAACACAAAGTAAAAGTTCCACATGTGTTTGTGATTTGACGTCAAAGAAGAAAACCAACACAATTTGGTGACTGATCCATGTGTAGGTGGTCCAGGCAGAGAGAGTAGTCATTCACTTATTCGCTCCATTCAACAAATATTTTTTGCAAACCTAATTAAATTGGTTCAAAGCCTTGGGGTGGCCACTGAGAAGAACTATAATGTGAATGAGACACAGCTGCTGCCCTTAAGAGGTTGGCATTCTATTAAAAGAAGGCTGTAACAGGAGGCACACGAGATAGGCCATGACAGACAACAAAGGGCGAAACTGAGGGAGAGCTCATCTAGCCAAGGGAATGGTTGGCAGGCTTCAAGCAGGCGGTATGGGTCAGGGAAAGGCACAGGAGAACTGGCTGTGTCATAGAATTCCTTGGAGTACTTTCAATAGGGAGGAACCCTAGACTAAACTTGTTGACATGGAACTGTCCACATTGTATTGCTAAATGGGGGGGGGGAGCATATATACTTTACTCCTTCAAAATAGTACGCTTTCATTTTTATTAAAAATTATATAAATGTCTAGCAAGATACACAACAAAATTTAACTCTGAGTTGTGATACATTAGGTAACTTTTACTTTCTTCCTCATACACTTCTGTATGATGTACATTCCCCACCACCCACCTCTGGGAAGGTAGAGGGCAGAGAACTTGCATGATTTTGTAAGCAGAAAGAACAGTGAAGCTATTTACGTTTGTGTTTAAAGGAGGAGGCAGCCAACAGCGCAAATGCTTGCAGGCAGGTGGTCAGAGAAGATGATGATTTGAGGGGAACATACACATTTAATGACTGAGGAGGTTGATGTGGTCTTCAGAAGCAGAGATTCAATTTAGTGATGAGAGTTAGAATCCAGGTGAAGCCTTGGGATGTTGAGATTTTGCAAAGAAGCCAACAGCATTTGTTAATGTTGGCCTCTGACTCTCTTTTAAGAATGATTAATGTCCTTTTCCTACAAACCAAATACATGAAATATTGCCAGATTGATTGGAACCCGTAATGATTGAAATATGAAAGAGGAGAGGCTGCTGCCCAAGATTGGGTCTATAACTTGCTGGCTTGATTCCATGCCCTTGGGGTGATTTAATTTGTGCCTTTTTTCATGCCACTTAAACACCATAGACAAATACAATTTAATGGTGTCATTGTAAAAGAAAAAACAAATCTCCTTGACTGATCAAAATCCAACTCACTTCACTCTATATAACTCACTACAGCTAATTAATTGTTTTCACATTGATTATCTCATTTGCTTCTCATGAGCCCTTGAGGCAGGTTGGGCTGTGATCATTATCTCCATGTCATAAATGAGGAAACTAATTTGAATAGAAGGGTGACTTGCCATGGCAGCCTGTGATAGAGGAAGTCTCTGACTGTAGGGTCAGCCCTCTCTCCAGGGAGCCACGTGCATCCTGGGACAGTCTTCACAGTGTAACTGGAGCTAAGTTAAGTCTGAGCTTAGTTTTCTCACCTGAATGTGGATTGCTCTGAGAGATAAATAACTGAACATACAAATATAATTACATATACTAGATGCTCAATAGCTTTTCTCTTTATTTGATTTTTAAATCAAAGAGACAGAGCCCGTTTCACATTTCCTCAGGAACCCATAGTTTACTTACTAGATCCCGCTCACATCAACTGCCTGGGATCAATTTTACCCTTCTAAAATTTTCCACCCTTCTTGCTATGACTTTACATATATTTATATATATTTTTTATTTATGCTATTTTTATATTATTTTTATGTTTTGAATATAAAATATTTCTTGTATATTATTTATACTACTTTTAATTTATCTTTTTCTTAGTTATAAAATGATGCTGGTCGATTATAGAAAATTCACAAAATATAGGAAAATATGAAGAAAAAAGTATGTATCATCCAGAGCTAATTACTGTTAACATTTGGTGTGTATCCTTCTAGTCCTGATACTTTCTTGAGCAGTCTTTTATCCTGCAGGCTGTTTTCTTATATGACTATTCTTACTTCCTAAAAGTAACTGGAAATTTCAAACTGGGATAGAGACTCAACAGTGCAGGGGCAGAAATGACTTAAATGTATGCTATTTAACTTGTAATATAGGCTGTGGATTTTTCTGGAGGATGGATTGGTTTTCCTCCTGTTGTTATAATGGCTTATGACACATGAATCACGTTAATAACTTGCCTAAATTATCATTTCCTGATGCTCAGGGTGAAGACATCTTATTGAACAAATGGTAAATGGTTTAAGGTCTAAGCACTAATGATTAGCAAGCACTGTAAATACTCCAGACTATAAGGTGGTACCTTTAACCAGTATCACATAGCTCTCCTCTGGAATTCCTTAATAACAATCATTATCAGGTGATCTTTAAAAACAAATCACACCGGGCCGGCCGAGTGGCGCGATGGTTAAGAACTCGCTTGGGATGCCAGAGGGCCCCGGTTCGGATCCCACATGGGAGGGCCAGTGACACTGCCCTCCACAGCTAAGATGCTGAACAACAGCTCAACCTGGAGCTGGGCTGCCATGAGTCGCCGGCGACGGCGTGGGCTGCAGTCCCTGTGGCAGTGGATTGCCATGGGCTACACGTGTGTAGCCAGCAGCCAGCGTGAGCGGCCAGCAGCCGCAGTGAGCGGCCGTCCAGAAGCCGGCGACTGATCTGCCTCGCCAGAGAAGAGCGCAATGACGGTGCCAACTTGGGCCAGTGAAGTGATGTCCTCCACAACTAGACTGAAGAACAAAACGACAGCAACTTGTCTGTTCCCCTTCCTCCCAATTCCCCAGCGCTGTTATCCCCCAATTCCCCAATAAAAATCTTTAAAAAATATATATAAAAAACAAACAAACAAAAAAAAAAACAAATCACACCAACTTAAATCCTTTGACTCATCATGGCTTACCTGAGGAATCCGGACCCCACAAGCACCCCAGCAATGCAAAGCAGAGCCACTATACTGTTGACCACATTTGGGTCTTGGACCATTCCAAGTAGCACAAGAGTCAGAAATTCACCAATCAGGTGGGGGGCCAAGACAGCAGCAGAGAAACATCCAAATCTGGCAACCTCGGGGTATAAGCCCAGAGTCCTAGAAAAACATAAGGCCTTTAGTTTCTCTCCAAAGGTTATCGTTTCAGAAAAATACCACACTTGCCTTCTATGAATGAGTCCATGGTGGTTAGTGGGAGGGACGAGTGTGCAGGGCAAGTCAAGTTCTCATTTGAAAGGGCTTTTGGGAACAGAGCCAATATCTGAGACCATTTATTACTGCAAATGGTTTCCATTGGCTCCAACTCAGTGCAACCCACCTTCTCCCTTCTACAGCTCCTTCAGCTCTCACAGGAAAATATTAGTGCTTAGACAATGGTCAGAAGTAACTGCAATACATAGGGTTGTTGAACTCTCCAGGCTTCTCCATAAATAACCGCAATTCTGTCCCCACTCGTCCTACCCAAGCTAACCTACTACCCTAATGCTAAGGGCTCGCCCGACCTGCCCCTCAGCCCTTCCCTCCCTGAACCCCATCCCTGTGACACGGGGCTATTGATGGTGTGAAAACCCTTCACTGATTTCATCTTCCATCGGATTAGCCCTTCCCAGGCCTACTCCATTCCATTCTTGTCTTTTATTCTACCAGCCCTTTCTACCGATTTGACCTCCATTTTCTCGTAAACAGACTACTCTATATCCATGCCTCTTGACTCTTCTACTCCTTTCATCAAATAACATTTCCCTAATGATAGCATGTCCTCAACAACCATTAGACATGGCTCCGCTTTCTCCCATTTGTAGAGTAAGGAAAAAGACAAGTTGGCTTGTCTTATATCCACCCATCCCTATCACTCTTCAAGACCATTTGCCTTTCCTTTTACACAAATCAAGGACAATTATACCACCTTTATCGAATGGTTGCAAGGATGACATGAATTAGTATATTTAAAGCTCTTAGTGCCTGACATAAAGCAAGTGCTCAATATGTGTTAGCTATTATTACTATTATTATTATATTATTTTATATTCCTTAGCATAATATTTGTGCTTCCTTATAATACTAATCTTACACTTTCTTGAATTAAAGTCATCTGGAGATTTATGTCCATAATCCATTATCTGAAACACTTTAGGGCCAGATGTTTTTTGGAATGTGGCAATTTACAGATTTTGGAAAGGTTTTATAGGCCATACTTGCTGCAGTGGGATCCGAGACCCCACCTGTAATCAAGCATGTTAATATTTTTGCTAAACAGGAATACTGATGCGGGAAAAGTACTAAAAACCTTCTGGCTCTCTACCCTGGAACTCTCTCTCCATAGGGCCCACTGGCCTTTGACTGAACACCTGTGACTACCCCCTTACCAGTAGCTCACACTGCTGAAAATCACGGTGGCAATGACGCTGAAGGGGAGGACATGCAGCACATAGGCCAGCAGCATCTGCCACTTCTGATACAGGCCATCTTGACTCTCCTGGTCACTGACAGCTCGCAGCACAGGAACTGGGCATGGAATGCAGGTTTCAGAACAGCTGGTCACCACACAGCTAAGGGAGAGAGGGCTAGCCCAAGCTGAGCTTGAGGTCTGTCGTGGCTGGATGGTGAGGACCAGCTGGGGCTTCCAGGTCATGGGAACTATAAATACCCCCCAGCCCAGAAATCTACACTCTACCTGAGTTACAATACAGTTGCAAAAGCTGTTATAATTTATTTCCTTCTCCCTAAAGTGTGGGGGGGGGATATCACCAATTCAAAAACATACAAGCAAAAGGGGCACAAATGAGTGATGTGAGGCACTTTGTCCTCCTTTTGTGAAGGGTCTTGGCACCAAACATCAGGCAACTGGGTATTGCTTCTGGATTCCTAATTGAAATTGAAAATTAGGTGTTGGCTGTCCTAAAATAGGCTCCAAAAAATACATAACAGCACAAAGTTGGCCAGGTATTGGCTCCATTGAATGCGCATCCCAATGGCCAAGATAGGATAGCAGGGATGATCTCCTGATAAACCTTTCCAAACGCTGCCCGTTACCGCCTTGTAACTCCATGCTCCCTTGGATCCTTAGAAGCCCTCAGAAAGATCCACCTGGCGCGCTGATTCACCCTAAGGGTTAGTAGCTCAGTAGTTACCTTTCCCCAGAGAAAGAATCTAGGGAGCGCCAGGTTGAGCTCAGAGAAATACCCTGATTATGGAGGAGTCTTGCAAGGTGATGACTGGAGAAGAGAGACATTCAAGGAGAGAGGAGGCTCCCCCACCCACCCTGCTACCCAGAGCGTGCCTCCTGGGCGTGGCACTTACACAGGTTCACAGCGTTGAGCATGCCTGTGTATGGCATGGCACCCACACACTGGTATAGGAGACCCACGCGGTCCTGGAAAGCACCTTTTAGCACATCGTTCTGGACCCGTAGAAGGAAGAAAATGACGAACAAACCCATGATCAGGTTCTGGATCAGTCGCATGATCACTGCCAGCTTATTTCTCATTAAGTTTTTCGTCACTCTCCTGCAAGACAACCCCATTTTAATTCCTTCTCTTTTATTGGTCGATGTCTAAGCGCCTAAAATGCAGTGAGGCTCTTACCTCAGGAGAACACATAGTTTAGTGAGAGCTCCAGGAGAATCCTTGGTTTTGAAAGGAACCATTGGTAATGTTTTCAGGTGCTTTGTTCTTTCAATATTCTCCAAGATTTTGTGATAAATTGCTGATTCTTTGTAGGCAGATTCAATCATCTGGACTCTCTTGTAGGTTTCCATTTCCCGTTCTTTGCTTTGGGTATCCACTGATGTCAGGTCCACTAAAATGTTTTCCCAAAAGAAATATCCCAAGTGTTTTTAAATGAAGAAATCAAGCATATACACAATGGCTAATAATATACGTTTCATTATCGGTTTAGGAGTACTAACCATAATACCTCATCCCATCAGAATAATACCTATTGTTCATGCCCACCTATAACATCAGAATATTTTAAAGCTACCAGCAGGGCCAAGAGGATCCCACCGGGACTGTCTGGGAGATTTCAGAAGCTCAGCTATTTTTCTCTGACAAAGTAGGAGTGCCTCGATTTAAGAGAGATCCCCCACCTCATTCTGATAGGAGATCCATCTACGGCAAGTTAATTGACAGGCCAAATTAATTCCTTGAAGAGTAAACACACCAAAAACAAAAGCTAAAATAAAACTCACTAGTGCTGTTGTCATCCAAGCAGAAATCTGAGATGATAAAATAAAAAAAAAAATTATGATGATGAATGTGAAAGAAAAACTTACTATAAAAATCAAAAGGGTTTGAATGTTCAGGACAAGGGTAACTGCAGCCACTGAAGAAATCAAGCATTTCCACTGGTGTCCCGCAAAATACCAGCTCCCCAAAGCTCAGAATAGCGATTTTGTCGAAGAGCTGATTGGATAACAAACTGTGTTAGTATATAATCAGGACACCACATCCTTATGGAAGAAAAGTTTCCAAGCAGTCAGTCCTTTGATGATCTCAGCCATGCATCAGTATTCTTACTGCATCCATTGGGGACACTCAAAATGCATCCCTATTCCTTTCAGCCTGGGTGGCCCCTATGCATTCGGTCTGTGCCCAGCATCGCATCTGGGGTAGAAGAGAACGACTGGACCTGGGTTTGAGTCCCCGATGTGCCACTGAGTGAGTCATCTTGGACAATTTTTTTTTTTAAATCTCAGACCCTCATTGATAAAAGGCAAATAAATAATAGCTCCCAAGAAAGATCCTGGGAGGATAAAGTGAGATTTTTGTGAGGAAACATAATTTAGTGGAGAAACACAGTCTTTGAAACCATCTGGACTACGAATGCCAATTCTAGCTTTTTATGAACTGTGTGATCTTGGCTCAATTTTGTATCATTTCTAAGTCTCATTCCTCTCCTCTATAGAGAGAAAATACTGTTCACCTGACAGGACAGTTGTGCGGATTACATTACGTGAGTTTCCATCCTTCACCCATGTCAGGAGCTACTGGCTCCAATTGCCCTGGTTGCTGAGTACTAATCTCTGCCCCATGATCCTCATCTCAGCACACACAGGTACCACCCTTGATGAGCTGAGCAGGAAGGAACGAGAGAGGTCCCCTCTCACCTGGAAGAGCTCGGAGCGGGGCTGGTGAATGGTAAGAATCACAATGCGGTCTCTGCGAGCCAGCTCTGCTAGCAGGACGACGATCTGATTGGCCGTCATGCAGTCCAGGCCAGTGGTCGGCTCATCAAACAGCATGACCGCTGCAGGCAAAGAAGGGACATACTTCAGAGTCCCTGCCAAGTCTGGGCTCTGGGCTCTAAACTCAGAATTTTGAAAAGTTCCTCATTTGAGCTGTTTTACCCCCATCCAAACAGGGCACACTGAGAAGCACCTGTATGTAAGTGTCTTTCAGCCCGAGCCCAGGAGAATGAGCCTGACCCTGGAGGGCCCAACTCCCAGCTCTGGAGCACATTTCTGGCCTATTCCTCCAGGGAACAGGGTGGCAGCAGCAGTCAGATCAGTCCTCTCGCATGGCAATATGGACTATTTGGGCTCTGTCCAGGGGACCTTGAGGGGCAAAGGGCTGGCAGGCTGGCACCAAGTTGTTTTTAAAAGGCTGAGAGGAGGCTGGTTAAAATGACACAGCCTCATTTCATGTCACCAACATTAACAGGGTCTCTGCACTGCAAAAATCTTAGACCCATGAAACAAGGTAGGCAGGTGCTTGGGTTCTTTAGCGGGTATAACTGTAGCCCAAAGCTGCAAGGGCTCTTGAGAGCATCTCTCTTATTTGCCTTCCAGTGACCAGGCACCACGTGGAGAGCAGGCAATCTTGGTTCCCCTCCCACCCCATGAAGAAAGTATCCAGAGGCCATATGTCCTCTTCCAGGTGCATATAGTGCTGAGGTTTCCCCAAGGGGTGGGGAGAATGACCAAACTAGGCAGGGGAGCCAGCTGACAGGCTACCCATCTTGATAGCCCCTCCCCTCAAAATATGCACTTTTAAGTCCCACTTTAATGCTGCCATTTCATAAAGACTTCTAGTCACATCAGGGCTCACTGGCTTTCCACAGCAGACACAGTGGTTCTCTAGTAAGAAGTGAGGATGGACAGGGCAGGGCCCCATGTTCATGGAAGACCCTAATTGAACATTAAACACAAATGCAGTGCTTCCAAGTCCAAGAGCTGTTTATGACAGAAGAACATCAGGAATTACATAGTATTTCCAAAGAAACTGGTCCTCAGTTTGAAAATGTTCAGTGACTTCAGTTCCAAACAAACCCTTCACACAATGGAGACTGTGAAGAAAGGGCCTCGTGTATCTGCAGACATACAGGTCCCACTTACTGGGATCCTGGAGGAGCTGGGCTGCGATGGAGACCCGGCGCCGCTCGCCATTGGAAATTCCCCCAAAGGTGTGGTTGCCAATCAGCTGGTCTGCCACGTAGCTCAGACTCAGCTCGGCCATGACTGCCTCCACCTGGAGGAGACACAAAGTCCAGGAAGGCTGGTCACTGCTGGGCAGCTGTTCCAATTCACGGCCTGAGGATGCCACGGGATCGGAAACACACATTCCCGTGAGTGCTCAGGCCACTTTCAGACTCACCACACCATGGGGAAAGCACACCTATTACAATAAAACCCAATTTGGTTCAAATCACAACATAATACATGTGGCTGATTAAAATAAATGAATATGAATTGTTTTGAAAAGTCCTTAGAGCAACAAAAACTGCTTATATCTGCTTCAGGGAAATTTCCCAAGAAGCAATGAAGACTTCACTGGGCTCCTGTTTTCAGATGCTACAGTCAGCCCAGCCCGTACAGAAAAAATTCCCCCAAAGGCATAGTTACAATACAGCTTGTTTTTATAATGTTTGGTTTTTGAATCTTTATTATAATAAATGTTTTATGTGTTTTTAAAAATCTAATTTGGTTTGAAATAAACCTGATTTCCCTTATGTAATTCATATAAACCCTGGAGTCCCCCATGGTCCAATCTATCTCAGCATGATTTTGCATCAAAGAAATAGAATCTAGCTATCAAAAGTAATTAAAAAATAATGCCAGTCTTTACTTGAATCTCTTTAAGGACTTTATAAAGGACCCAGTTTATAACCTACAGCAACACTTCTTAAAATCCCCCCCCCCATTCTCATGTTACTTATTTTATACCCTGCAGCTCCCTGAAACTTCTCCTTACTCATTCTCAACTCCCCCACAACAATAACAACTAAAAAAATTCTTTACTGACTCTCTTATCAAGAAAGTTGGTCTTTTTCCTCCCTCTCCTTCTTTCCTTCTTCAGCTTGTCTCCTCTCCAGACACCCTTCAATAATCTCTATTTCTGGCCCACCTCTTATCCCATATCTGCCAAAGGCCCTGGGAAAACAGAAAGACACTGAGAGTAGTTTTATATACATGTGGTAATGAGTTTTGTTCCCATACACTTCTAATGAGATTGTGTTACATTTATAATAAACAAAAAACAAAACTCTGCCTTTAAAAAAAATCACAACAAACTGATTGGAGTAAAAGAGGGCATGATATAGGAACCAAAGTTCCAGAGGACACAGGGGGTGGGATCAACGGCATAGATGAAGCTTTGACCAAAAGAAGAGACACATCTGGAACAGATACAAAGGAATAACGAGAAGGTTAAACCTGCATAAATAAACCAGTATGATTTGTTCTGGAAAAAAGGAGGGTCTCCTCTTGCCATCAGAGCAGAGGGATCAGGGAATTGCGCTCTCTCGATGTGGCCGGGTTTATGCACGCACCAGCCAGGGCTGACTCCCGAGCGTCCCTTTCATCTGCTCTGCAACAGCATGACAGGAGTAGAGCTTGCCCCTCCTGGCTCAGAAGGGATGCTCAGAGAAGACATTTACTTCTGTTTCAGATGTCTCTCGCCCTGGCGGGAAGCCTCTCCCATGTTTTGCAAACACTATTGAGAATGGAATTCAGAGTCTTAGAAGGGACCAGTAGGACCATTGGGACCATTGGGATCCACTGGGATCATCAACTTTTTCTGTGTTACGTGTCCTCACATGAACTGATGTATTTCTCACAACTCCAGGAGAGGTTCATTATTATCCTACTTATTACAGAGGAGAAAACAGACCCTCAGAGAAGTCCATAACTTGCCCAAGGTCATGCCATTTACAAACGGCAGAGCTGGGATTGAGAGCAGGACTGTGTGTTCTCGAAGCACAAGGTTTAGCCAACAGCCCAGGAGACACAACCTGCTCACATCAACCACAGCCTATGTTCAGGTTCCCCAGGGGGCAGGAGCAGATCTGCTATACGGTGGCCTCAATGATCACCAGCACTTTTGCCTCACTAAATTATTTTGCAGGATTTTATACCCTGTGAACTGGATTTGCTCAGAAAGAACTCTCAAGCAGGCAGAACTTTTGCAGGACATTTAGGAGCTGCCAGTGTCAGGCAGAGTGATCATTCACCAGACAGACACATTTGCCATCAATTGATTTCAAGGTATCCATGACTTTACTGAATATTTATGCAAATATGGGCGTTTTCTGGGGGAAGAGCTCAGTAACTTTTTCAGGTTCTCTCAGTGGGGTGTTTGACATAAAAGTCAGTAATTCAGAAGAAACCATTTATGACTACATTTCTCCCACCCACATAGCAATCCGATCGTCCCCTGCCCATTTTAGAGAAAGGAATACTAAAGCAAGCAGAGTAAGCCTGCAGAAGGGCTCACCTCTCAGTCACTGTCAGCACCGCTAATTCAGGTGTGCACGTCTGTGCCTCACTGTGGGCTGGCCTCTGACCCCTGTCATCTCAGGCCACAGTGGCACTCAGGAGACCCTGGGGACTCAGGGGACAAGATGGAGCTTGAGGGCCTGGGTTCCTTTCCCCGCTCTGCCATTTCCAGTGGTCTGATCTGAATCCCCGTGGGTGTCAGGAGAGAATGCCTCCATTTCAGGGTTGATGCCAGAATGAAATGAGAGACGATGCGTGAACAAGGCCTGCCTGATGCCAGCCAGATATGAGCGCCCACAGTATGACTTGGTAGAACAGTAAGAGCCTTGCAATGCCTTCTGAGCAGCCTTAAGTGCCTTCCAGGGAGGAAACAGGCTCAGGCATCGCTCTGTGAGGACTATGGTCCTTCCTGAGGGCGAGGCCCTTGCTAAGGTGCCTCTGGAGTGAAAGCTATACTCCAAAATTATCTAGGACTCTCAAACAGACCTAGTTCCACTTCCCAAGCCGTGCCTGCGCGTCTAGGGCAGGGACAAGATGAGCAGCTCTCTGGGGACAGGCTGGGCAGTGCCTGATAAAAATGGGGTACCTTGCTGCATCCTTTGCTGACATGAAGGGTTCTCTCGGAGCCTGAGTGGCAGTAACGAAAGGCCAGGCTTGGAGCCTAAGCTGCAGATGTAATTTGTGTTCCCAGGAAGAACCTCACTGAGGCCTTGGGGTGGTAAAGCCTCTGAGGCAGATGTCACTGGTCTCTTCTAACAGCCCTAAGAGCCCATGTCCCAGGGAACTGTGCCTGTTTCGCATGGCACATCTACCTGTCCTCGGTCCTCTGTGCATTCTCAGTTCAGGCCTTCACAGTCCAGACAGAAATGAGGCAATGTTTCCAGGTAAGGTCCCCGTGGGGTTTACCTGTGGCTACTTCTAAATTGGGTGCATTTAAAGAAACAGATGGGACTCTAGACAGAGGTGACAATTCAATAGTTCCTTTCTTCACTACTTTAATCCAGTTTGGATGAGGCACATTCAGGATGCCTCAAAGAAAGTTGAGAAAAGTCTCAGCAGGGCTGCAGGGTGAAGCAGAATGGGGAAATTAGCATATCCGTTCAAACTCAGAGCTCCTGGGACAGCACCAGCCCACAGAATTACAATACAAACCACGTGCAGAATTTAAATATTTTAGTAGCTACATTTTAGAAAGTAGAAACAGGTGACATTCATTTCCATAACATAATGTAACCCAATACAGCCAAAATATTATTTCAACCTATAATCAATATTTTAAAAATTATTAATGAAATATTTTACATTCTGTATCTTCAGACTAAGTTTCTAAAATCTGGTATTTTACACTCACAGCGCATCTCAGTAAGGACTAGTCACATTTCAAGTGCTCCAAGCCACGTGGGACTAGTGGCTGTCACACTGGATAGTGTAGGTCTAGACTCTAAAGGGGTGAATAGTGAAAGGAGAGGAATGAGCAAGTGGAGGGAAGGGGAGGTGGGAAGCCACTGCGGGGTGGGGGTGGGTGATCCCCTGGGTGCCCCTGCTTAGGGGCCAGGGCCACTGTGAGGACAGGTGGTACGCACCTTCTTCTGGATGAAGTCTGGGGAGCTGCCCCGGATGGCCAGCAGCGCAGTGTAGCCCAGCGTCTCGCGCACCGTGAGGTTGCTCAGCAGAGTGTCGCTCTGCAGGAGAGGGAGGCGTCAGCATTGCCCCAGACCCGGGCTGCAGTGGGCCGAGGCCGGGGACATGCCCACCTGCAGGACGTAGGAGAAGCAGTCCTGGAACTGGTCCCTGCGCAGCACCTGGCCATTCACGAACACCTCCCCGAACAAGGTCCCTGTGCGCCACAGCCTCCCGGACATGGCGTCCAGCAGCGTGGTCTTCCCTGAGCCTGGGGGGTGAGAAGAAAAGGCTCTGGAGAAGTCCTTCCAATGATGCACTGCAAGAACTTCCCAAGATCCTTGGTGGACCCGCGGTCCAGCTCCGACTTGTTCTCTGTAGCCTCAAACTGTCAAACCTGTGGGTCAAACTGTCATGGCAGTAATGAGTCTTTCGGCTTTTCCTCTGAGTGAAAGGGGTTACAAGCCATTTCTATCACCTGGGTCAGGACTGGAGGGGCTTTGTCTACCAGTTTATTTGCTTTTAAAGCTGTTTTGGGTTGAAAAAGAAAATATAGGATCAAAATAAAAGGAAAACCAGGGCTCTTGGAAACAGGCCTGAGCCTGTTGGGGTGAATTCCTCTCAGTGGGCTAAGCCCCCTGCACAGCAGCTCTAAGCTACAAACAGGGCAAAACCCGACAGCCAATAACCCTGAGGGTCAGTGCCATCCACTGATGTGCCAATAGCAACGAAGACTCAACTGTAACCGGAGGGCACACACAACCCACAAAAGGGACACTTGAGAACACCCAGTGCAGGTGATCAGGGAGAGTGTGCCACTGGGCCCCACAGGACACCTCCTACATAGGGCCACCGCCCAAGACTGAGAGACATAGCAAATCTACCTAATACATGGGAATAAACACAGAGAGGCAGCCAAAACGAGGAGATAATGAAAGAACAGGAGAAAACTCCAGAAAAAGAACGAAACAAAATGGATGCAAGCAACCTACCAGATACAGAATTCAAAACAATGATTACAAAGATGTTCAAGGGACTTAATGAGAACTTCAACAAAGATAGCAAGCATAAAAAAGGACATAGAAACTGTAAAAGAACCAGTCAGAAGTGAAGGATACAATAACTGAAATGAGGACTACACTAGAAGGAATCACCAGCAGACGAGATGAAGCAGAGGATCTAATCAGCAATTTGGAAGACAATGTAGCAGAAAACACCAAATCAGAACAGCAAAAAGAAAACAGTATCCAAAAAAATGAGGACAGTTTAAGAGACTTTTGGGACAACATCAATCATAACAACATTTGCATCACAGGGCTACCAGAAGGAGAAGTGAGAAACTAAGAGATTGAGAAACTATTTGAGGAAATAATGAATGAAAACTTCCCTAACCTGGTGAAGGGAATAGTCATACAAGTCCAGGAAGTGCAGAGAGTCCCAAACAGGATGAACCCTAACAGGCCCACAACTAGACCAATTATAATTAAAATGGCAAAGGTTATAATAAAGAGATAATCCTAAAGCAGCAAGAGAAAGGCAACTAGTAACTTATAAGGGAGCTGCCATTAGATTGTCAGCTGATTTTTCAACAGAAAATTTGCAGGCCAGAAGGGATTGGCCCAAAATATTCCACATGATGAAAAGCAAGGACCTACAACCAAGACTACTCTACCCAGCAAGGCTATCATTTACTATCATTTAAAATCGAAGGACAGATAAAGAACTTCCCATACAAGAAAAAGCTAAAGGAGTCCATCACCACCAAACCAGTATCACAAGAAATGTTAGAGGGACTTCTTTAAGATGATTATATATAATAAAATGCTCATGCAACTCAACACCAAAAAAACAAACAACCCAATTAAAAAATGGGCAGAGGATATGAAGAGACATTTCTCCAAAGAGGACATA